AGCCCAACAATCAGGTATGGAGCAATATTTGATCAAGAGATGAGGAAGGTGAAGTTTTCCCATCAAAAATCCTCTTGCACGTTGTTGTGTTTTAGCAGAAAATCGTCCCAACCGGCCCCGGTCAGTCTATAACCGGCCTCGGTCGCAAACAGGCTCGTTTAGTGCGAAAATACCTTCCGACCGGCGCCGGTTCTCGTCTAACCGACGCCGGTTCTCGTCTAACCGACGCCGGTTGCAGCGCCCAAAAATGTACTTCGTCTTTCTTCCTCCAAAATGGATCAAAAAGTGTCTGTTTTTGTACAGGGATTTTGGGAATGTTCCGCTATGAATTTGGACATGATTCCTTCACCAAAGCTGTAGATAATGAAGTCTTCTATCCACCAAAACTTGAATGACATGATTTATTCATCCAATCAAACGTTATGGCTAAAACACTTAGAGGTATGCATCCTGAAATCCCACCACCAACATCTGACTTTATTGGTTGATTGGGTCTTGGTCCTTTCATATTTTGTCCATGACGTCTTCATAACATTTGTACCTTATTGAGTTAGCATTCACATGAAACTCGAATCGAGTGATTTCGAGTTTTATAGAATAAGTTATACTCAAATTATGGGCAGAACGTCATTCTCTTGGTCCAAAAAGTCCTTCATCGCAATGTTTTATGCTCTAACTCTCATGCAGGAGGTATTTGCCCGATTTCTCTTCTTTTCTTCAACAAATACTTATAAATACTTATGTTAAACACCAGTAAATATAACGGATATCAGGGTGTAATAATGTAATTATAAGGATTACTCTGTAATTTCTGTAAACTCTATTTTAGGTTAAATATAACCTCAACGCACCCGATAAGGTACGACATTATTTCCCAAAATTCTATTGTCTATTCTAATATAAAAGCAAAAGAAATTTGTGAACAGTACTCCCTCCCAAAAATGTCAACATCAATCTCTAATTTGTTTATTGGTTAAAAATAAATACAAAATAAATATAATCTAAAGATATTTAGTTCGGTCAATCAACAAGTTTTGTGAGTAAACCATTTCCATTGGTCCAAAAGGGAGGTGCGTGGAAATGAACAAATTTTGTGAACAGTGAATGAGATTGGTCCACAAGATTGATTTAATCCTATTGGTGGAATTGGGTGGTGGGAATAGTGGATAAGATTAAGTGTATCTCATTCCCATTGTGTAACACAGTAACTTTCAACTATAAAAGCAGGAATTCCCCATTAGACTTCTCACATCCATTCGCACATCAACCTGAAATTGAAAAAACAGTCAATAAACTCTTTTAACATCATTGGTATGTGGTCTATGATCACATAGATTGATCAAAGAAAAACAACTTGTGCAATAAAGGTGAAGCCCATAAGAGTATGTCGAGAACCAGCTCATGATGGTTTCCCAGATTCAATGGAAGTTATATTTCATGATGAGTAGGTTAACTTAAAATTTTTGAAGTGACTGTTTAAAAAAAAACAAGGCTTCAAGATTCACGTCCCAGATAAGTTCATTACTAAATTCAATGGGATATTTAAAGAGGGATACATCCAAGATTCCTTGAGCGCCACTGAAATAGACATTCTAGAGGTTTGTTTTCAGGTTTAGTAGTTTTCTTTTCATGTACCTTGATTTTATTTTCTAACAGAACACACGTGTTTTCTTCTTCGGGTTGGCTCTTCCCAGTGTGTGTCTGCAACCAGTCCTTTTGTTGAACGAATGAAAGAAAATGACACCTTCATATCAAATGAACACCCCAATCTTTGGCTCTTCCCTTTATTTCAAATTTTGAGCCTACAGTATGCAAGAATTTTATCATATATACACTCAAAGGAGAACAACAAATGGGCATCCAGCTTTAGAAGTACAAGCAACATAAGAAAAAGCAAGAATATCTTATATATCATAAGTGAAAGCAAGGAAATCTTGTTGTGCTGGGTTGGGGTTTATTGCTCTTGCCATCTTATTACTTTTCATTCTTGCCTTTCTGTTTTAAAAATATATAAATTATATATATATATATATATTAAATCAAGTCATTAGATATATCTAGCTCCATTTCTTTATGTCTTTACCACTATTTTTTCGTCCGATTCTTTTGTTGGTATAAGATTCTTAAATGAAAAAATCTTGCTTTGATTCTTTTGGTTGATTGGTATCTCTGTTCACAGTAAACAAACATAGTAGCAAGTATTGGATCAAAGCCCATGTAATGAATACATTTACAGCAGCAACTTTATGGAGTTTAGAAAAGACAACCAATTCACTTATTTCATTTCAAGAGATTATAATTTAAGATTAAAATATATACTACTACGTATTTTTTTACGAAAAATATATACATTTTAGGCAGATTTTAGCTATGCACATAAATGATTTTATTGAATTCCTGAGTTTGCATTATAATTACTAAAAAATGGACAGCCTGTTTGATTGTATCTCTACACTTGAGATTTTAAATATTGAAAAATACACAAGGATTCTGAAGATATATATGCAGATTAGTTAGATTAGGTAGAGTTTAGCAACTTCAGATAAAACATTGATTTCATTCAAGTAAAGTCACATTAAGCAGGTTATACCTATCTTGCAGCATTCCAAATATATTTTCCAAGCATCTGCTAAAACATTGCACAAAAGACCTTCAATGGCATCTGCAAAAGAAAATTGAGACTTAGTTAACTTCAATTTACAAAAATCTTTACAGAAAAATATTTCAAATGACTAATTTAACTAATTTATACTCCGTAATATACAATGGCTTATATCATACTAATTTCACAAGATTTAACTTGCAGCCTTATGTGTAAAATACACAACCTTCCATGTTTATATTTAATAAAAAATGAAAAATAATACTAATGTTCGAACACATAACATGTACGGAGTAATACTTTTTGAAAGTAAAATATTGGGAATGGATTCAAAAAAGAAAGAAAAGTTGTTGGATTGTCATTTGACATACAGATACTTTTTTTAAAAAAATGTGAAAATTAAAGTTATTTTTTTGTTAAATGCATACACTTAGATCTGTTAGAAAAATACAATGCACATTTGTGTGTCTAATTAAACTTCCAGATATTATGTTTTAGAATATGAAATCATTGCATGTATAATCAAATACCATTTTTATAAAAGAAAAACTTTGGTAATATGGTAATAATAAACACAGATCGTATAGATCTGTAGGTAGTGAATGTCGTGATTTGTCTAGATGATGGTTTTAAGAAAAGATTTAATTAGTGAGATGGTCGTGTGTAATAGAGGAAGTGTGTTTTTACCGCTTTTATAAAACTTAGAGCGGCAGAGGAGGCGGAAGTGGTGGAGGATGCTTACAATTTGTAGGTAGATTCATGACAGCGGTTGTATACCTCGGCGAAGAATTAGAGCGGTAACGACTGCTTGAATGGATTTGACCGGCCGTCCGTTGAAGTTGTCTTTATGGTGGAGCATTGGTGTGCTTGGTTATAGTCTTATAGAGGGCTGCCCAATTGAATTCGCTAGGAAGAGTTGATGGATTTTCTTATGGTGGAATGTGGTTGGCTTTACAAAGGCTGGCCGAGTGGCCTTTGTGTCGAAGGAATGAAGGTTGTACCAAAAGGGTTGTATGCTTTAATTATACAGGCCTGGATGTGAAGGGCTGTCTTTCATGGGTTTCTCACAATTAATGGGCTGCTCTTAGATGCATGGTTGAGATATGCCCAAAATGATCACATTGGGATTACTTCTAATTGTTTAAATAAAAAGCTATCCCTAAAGATCTAGATTATAGTTAGGGACATTTAACTTTAAATCATATCCCTAATAATACGAAATGAATAATATATGTTTTAATATAGTCAACCTCGGTCCCTTAAAACTTTGCCAAAGTTGACGGGCACAGAGAATAATAAAGTAAAAAATGTGGTTGAGGTGTGTGCAGAGGAGAGATAAATAACAGAAACTACAAAATAATTGATTAAAAGGAAAAGTGGAATTTTTTTTGGGACGTCCCAAAAGGAAAAATGACAATGTTTTAAAGGACGGAGGGAGTATTATTTTTATGTATCGTATCCAACTTACATATTTCACACATTATTGATGTCAAATTAAACCGACTTTATTAATCCGGAATTTGAAAGATAGACGAATTATCAATCCGGAACTTGAAAGATGAAATATATCCTGAATGATGGAAAACTATCAATCTAGGACCTAACATTTCATTGATTTTGATTTGTTTAATTTTTTATTAGTTCCATTGCTAATATTTGGTGAATTTTTCTTCACAAAAGCTTATTACTTTAATAAAACTAAATAATGCTTAGATTTTTCAAAAAAAGATTCATGAAAACTAGGTTCTATATTGATAGTTTTCAATCATTTGGGTTCTTGATTGATAGTTTTCCATCATTCGATCCTGTATTGATACATTTTCTCTTCCAGGTCACAGATTGATAATTCATCTATCTTTCAGATCCTCAATTGTTAGAGTTCAAAAATTAAATCCAAATTACATAATTTAGGAACAAACTCATGCATCGTGCATCACACAGGTTCCACTGAGAAGACTCCGAATGTTATATTCACAGAAGTGTTCAACAATGTTTAGGTTTACATTATATGCATATTTACAATGTTATGGTTTTAATGTATTTGTTGGATGTTTTTTGATCTTTTAAGTAATGCTTACTACTCTCATTTTGACCAAAACATTATAAGTGTGTTTCGTTTAATGGTTTGATGTATATCAGTATTACATAAAGGTAGTTGTTGTCATTAATTGATAATGTGATTTGAATTACTAATCACACGTAAATTTGAAAGAAAAATTTTCAAACCGTGCATCGCACGGGTGTGTTTACTAGTTTGTATAGACCAAAGGTGAAATTATTTAATCAATTTTTTCGATTTTATGGTTTTCCCTTCCGTTTTTTACCCAACCCTTATCTGCAATATCTCTCACAATAAACATTCCTCTATTTTTTCTCCTCACTTTTCTATTTGTACTAGACGCTATCACAAATAATCATGATGGGTGATAAAGACATTCCAAAGAAAGCTTCAAGTGGCAACGGCTCCAGGAAGAGCAGGAAGAAGAGAGGGGGCAGTAAGAGGAAGATGACCTCTGAACAGTCTTCCGCTCACAACTCTATCAGTGAATGGGTTTTCCTGGACCAGAGGAGGCCCGGTAAGATTCTTGATGATGATTTTCTGGTGCCATGGCATCAGCGCAAGGAGAAATTGGTGTTTGAACTGCACACCCATTCTACTCACAGTGATGGCTACTTGTCCCCTTCCAAGGTGGTTGAAAGAGCACATCAAAACGGGGTCAGTTTCTTAATGTATTCAGTGTTTTTCAATTACCTTTTCCGTTTTGTAAATATGGAATTTCAGAATTAGTTTGCAATGCTTTATGCCTGTTATTAATATAATCCGTCTGGTTAATATCTAAAGATGACATATTGGTTAGTCACTTGAACTACCTTTTCGCTTAATAATACTACCATGTTAAAATTCTAGAGCAGTAATGCAATAATCTTTATAGTTTATTTGTTGTAGAGTGGTAGTGCTCACTATGAAAGTATACAGTGTGAGAGGTGTAGTTTTATTATACCAATGGTTAAGAGTATGTTTTAATGAGTAAATATTTTTAGCCCATATGGTTTGAGTTACATGGGTGAAATGGTTGAATCTTTTTGGCGAAGTCCAATTCTGCCAAATAAGTAATTCAATAACTACTTATTCTGATGATTTTGGTTATCCTTCCGATAAGCAGAACAAGCCAACTTAGGCTACCTGGTAGCCACAATTCGTTTCTGAATTTATGTGATGACACCTGAATTTCTTGCCTCATCTCGTAATTTTTATCACATGTTATACGATATTGAAGATGGTTATGTGGAGGGAGAGCATACATGTGCTGGATTGAATTAATCTTTCTCTATCTAATGTTTTTAACTCCAACATTCAAATGTTAGTTCATGTTAGCTGACTCCAAACTCTTTTGGGAATAAGTCATGGATGTTGGTGCATTATACAGTTAATTAGTTCTAACAAGGTTCAGAACAGGTGAAAGTTTTATCTTTGACTGATCATGATACAATGTCTGGAATACCCGATGCCCTAGAAGCTGCGCACAGATTAGGCATCAAAATCATTCCAGGTGTTGAAGTCAGTACTATGTTCTCCCCAAGGTTTGAATTCATTTTTATTCTTTGACTTAATTATGTAGCTAGCTGGTCGGAATGGTGACTTGTTTTTTCTGTTATTCTCTCTTATTGGGCCATATTATAAATTGGTTTGTCCTTAATCCAATACATATAATCATGCCAACTTAACTGCAATTTTGCTTAGTTTAGTCGAGTAACATGTATTGTTCCTAAGTATTATTCCACATCCATTGTATACACAGTTGAGTCTAGTATCTTTAATTGTGTGGTAACTGCTTGCTTAATTTTTTTGAGGGGGTGAGTTAGGCTGAATGTAGCAAGGATACAAGAGCTTGTTCCAATAAAGGTTTATGGGTGCCCACATACTTGATGGTTTGGGGTAATCCATTTGGGGACCGGTTTGTGCCTATTTGTCCATCCTTCATTTTTCTAGCCTGATTTGGGCTTAGTATCATGCATGTGTTGTTTATTGGACATTTGGAGTTAGGCTCGATCTAACTGTCCATGTGTCATTTTTGAAAAACTTCTCAATTGGTCCCCATTCTTAAATTGCGGGAACTCAAGCCTCATTAGCTACAGAGCTAAATGAGATCCAAGTTGATTAGGGCAGGGACTAATGAGGCTTGGATGGAGATTTGTACAATGTTTTTTTTGTAAATTGCATAGTTATTTACAGGGAGGAGTCTGGATCAGAAGAACCGGTTCACATCCTAGCATATTACAGCAGTTGTGGACCAACAAAGGTTGACAAGCTGGAAAATATGTTGAGTGTTATAAGGGAAGGACGTTTTGGACGTGCCAAAAACATGCTTTTGCTACTCAACAAACTCAAATTGCCACTTAAATGGGAAGAGGTACTGAGAATAGCAGGCAAGGATGTTGCTCCCGGGAGGGTGCATGTTGCTCGTGCCATGGTTGAAGCAGGATATGTTGAAAATCTAATGCAGGCTTTTGACAAATACCTACATGATGGTGGGCCTGCATATGCTACGTAATATTTGCAACTCTTGTAGTTCTTTTATTCAGTCTTATTCATATGTTTGTTTGCACACAAATGTTTGTGCCTGTATAATTGTATATGTTATTATTATCTCATTTTTGTGAAATTCCTTGCCATGACCCAATTCAGTACAACATACTCCGTAGATGTTATGCCCCAGGGCAATTCCCTTTCTTAGTAATCTTGCGCCATTTCCATCATTTCCAATGGAGCCAAAGTCTCACTATTTTTTGGCTTGATAATATGATGGAATAAAGCAAAATGACTCACTAAATTGTCTGCGCTTCTTTGTTATGAATCAGCAGTTAGTCCATGCAATTTTTATGCGATTTTCACTATGGGTCATCCGGAAATAGTCTTTCTGTGCTTTAGTACATGGGTAAGGCTGTACATCCGACCCCCCCTTGCCCCACCATACGTGGGAGCCTTTGCGGCACTGGGGTAATGATAATGTAGTCAAAAGAGTAACTCTATTTTCCACCTCATTATCACTTGGTTTAGCCAAAGTTGGGTACTAAGTTAGTGTTTGGTGAAATAGTTTACTGATAAGGTATGATGTCTGTGTTATTCATCAGTGGAAGTGAGCCAGATATGGAGGAAGCTGTGAAATTAATATGTGAAACTGGAGGTGTAGCTGTATTGGCACATCCATGGACATTAAAGAACCCGGGGGCTATTATAAGCAGACTGAAAGCAGCTGGCCTTAAAGGGATAGAGGCTTACAGAAGTGATGGAAGAGTTGCACGTAAGGCCTCATGATATTTGCTTGCTTTCTCCATCGTATGCATGTTTGCGTAATTCATTCAGTTAATTAATACGGAGTAGAACATAGTTTCAGAAATATGACCAACTCCTCTTTAATGATGGAGTAACAGTCTTAGATATTTATTTAAGGGAAAACTGTCAAATAGGTCCTCGAACTTTCATAAAAAAGTCAATTAAGTCCTTCTATAGGAGACTCTGTCCGATCGTCGCGATTTGGGGCTGTTCCCGGTGGAATTTTTTGATGAAATTTTTTGAGCATCTTATTAATCAAGTGTAGTTTACTCATACCAAATTTCAGCTAAAAATTTAATCGGGAGCGCATTCAAATTAATTCGAGAACGCAAAAATGCGCAGTTATCTTCAAGAATTTCAGCTAAAAATTGACCTTTTTATGAAAGTTGGAGGACTTATTTGACAGTTTTCCCTTTATTTAATACTTTCATCGATTTTATCATACCTTTTAATAGTTTGAAACATATTCGCTGCTTCTAGGAGAAGTTGAGATACATGCATTTTAGGTTCCCTTTTTCTCCAATAGATGAGGAACAGCATTCCAACCAAATAAGGAGTTTGATTCAAATGCTAAAAACAGCCATAGAAACGTAACTTTTTATATGGCAGAGGGGGTGAGTCTCGCTTCCCCTTCTGGTGGGGGGGGGGGGGGGGGGTAAAGCGAGATATAGGTACGTTCTCACCTTTTTCATAAATAGATGACTAGTAGTTCCCATATCTATATTTCCAAATTTGTCTTGGAATATTCACCCTTTTCCAGGCTTTGATGGTTTATGGTAGTCAATAGTCATTGTTTGTTCCCACAATTAACTTTTTTACAAATAACAGCATACAGTGACTTAGCTGACACATTCAATCTAGTAAAGCTTGGAGGGTCTGATTTTCATGGAAAAGTGGGCCAGGAAGAGCCTGAGCTAGGAAGCGTGAGCCTCCCTGTGTGTGCTGTGCACGAGTTCCTGAAGGTGGCCCGCCCAATCTGGCGAAGTGCCATTGCACACATCTTGGAGAATTATATTGACCATCCCACGGACTCAAGCTTGCAGCCTATAATGAAGTATGGTTCTTATTATGAAAAGCCCAGGAGTATAAGGAATTCAGCTAATGAGTTGATTAGCCAATGCTTGGCTTCCTGGCTGACCAATGAGGAAAGACAGAATGCAGAGTTTGAGGCCATCCAGCAGAAGCTTTGTGGCTTTTCTATTAGCCAACAAAACACCACTGCTTGTGCTCTGGATATTTAACTTTGGTTTTTGTAAGGCCATCGGCACTAATCCCCCTCACGCCTAGGTGCTAGTTATAGCTAGGTTGTCCAATAATTTACCTCGAGGGAATGGGTTGCAAAAGTTGTTTTGGTTAGAGTTAATTTTATCATCATTTGGTTTCATCCACAAACTGCCCCAAGGTATGATATAAAATTAGTATTGCAACGTATATGGTGAACTTTTACCAGATTGAACCGATTAATTAATAATTAGTTGCGTAATCATAAGTTCAGATTGAACCAATCATTCCACTTGGTACAGTTCATTTTTGGAGGATTTGTGGTGTTTTTACATGGACTTAAATAGACCAGATTTAAAAAGATCAAATGAGATCAAACTATATTTCGACAGTTATAAATTACACATGGACCATATCAGTTCAGATCACACCAAACTGATTTATACAAACCAAACCACAAAATTACAGTCCAATTAAAAACATCATTGATTGTATCTTCTAGTCTTGAGTGCACTTGTGTAGATTGTAATACCATGTAGGAGACGTAAGATAAGAGAGGTAATATACCCCCAGACCCCACCATGTTTCATGTGTTTTGTTCATATTTTGTAACATAGCCTTCCAATCATTCAAACAACATGAATATTAAATCATTTATCCCTAATATGATGTTGTATATTTAGTCATTTTTATAATTTTAAAAAATATTTGAATATGACTTTCGGTATAACGGTATACTAATATACCTTTTATTTTCAAAACATATACCGATACAGTAACAACTACAACTACAGCAGGCGCAACCGCAACCGCCACCGCAACTGTCACCGCAACAACAACTTCGAAGGTTGGTGTACTCTCCCCTCTTCACATAACTTCGAATGTTGGTGTACTCTCTCTCCTCTTCACATTAACTTCGAAGGCAGAGTAGTACTGGCTATAGAATTTTCGCTCAAAGTTTTCCCATGAGACAGCTCCTCGGTATTTTCCTTCTACACTGTCCCACCATGTAGAAGCCACCCCCCTCAAGCAATCGTGAATCAATAGTTAGCTTCTTAATCCAATCGGTGGCAACGGTAACGTCTCTGGTGTCGTCGAAGGATTTACACCCAAGACTCTATCTTCCTTGAGGTACTTGGAGATTCTAACATAGAAATCTTCACTATGTCCGCCTTCAGACGTTCTTGAGGCGGCCCTAGAAGCTCCCCGGCTTCCATGACCCGAGCCTCCCTGAGAAGCACGCCTAGCTTAACGTCTTTGCTCCATTCTTTCCTTCTCTCTGATACCACTCAAGTACCTCTCCCATTTGGTTCAAACAAGCATCATCCTCTTCATCATCGGTGTTGAAATCAGCCCCATCATATGGGGTCTCTTCACGCCCCGTCTCGGGAACATAAGTTGACTCATCTTCCCCGGTGTTCGTTTCGTACACCGAGCTCACATGGTCATCACTCACAGTTTGGCCTCTGCGGCCTCCATGCCCCCCTCCTCTACTCCTAGAGACTCGAGATGCAGCCCAGCTAGCCCCAATGGAAGCTACCGGCGCTTGGCCCTCGGATTGTTCCTCGTTGTCATGTGTCTACCCTCTATTTCTGAAAGAAAGTTTGGACGAGTCATTAGACTCCTATCAATGTCAATTGACGGAAAAGTATTATAAACACTCATTGGTCCAAATCACTGTCATACCAATTGTTAAGAGTATCATCTTAACGATTGAGACATTGCAACTTGAGTAACAATATTTCTATAAGCACCAACATACATTGTTCATGCATTTCGATAAACTCTTTTTGTAAGAACTCTTGTGAGTAGTTGATTACATAGTTTAGAAACCGGGATGACTCTGATAGCACTTAATTGTCACACCCATACCGCATCTATGCGCGTGTACAACTACCGCAAGGTTAAGTGACATCACCTGCAGATCAATCTCACTTAATTGTGCAAGGCGTCCATGAACATAGTTCATACCATACTCAGTAAGTAAACATACATAACAACATCACATTTAAACCAATGAATAATAGGAAATATTCAACAGTAATTCATGGGCCACATTCGTCCAAAACATGGGCTCACAGGCCCAAAATAGTTTATAGTCATTCAAATATCCATGAGCAAGTGTTTATAATTTTGAAAGAAATAAGGAAGCATGAACCACATCTTCCTCAAGTTGAATTCACTTGTACAAAGGTGCAAGTAGCAAGCCCTAGCTTCAACCTGAAAATGGTAGGGTCCCAGATGGGTCAGTACAACTTGTACTGACGAGAAACAGGCTAAATGTAGAATAATTAATGTTTCAAGTATAAGACCCAAACTTAGGGTGATACATACACTTATACTTTTCCCCCAAATCTTGAAGTACATATGAGTATATACACTTGGAAAATACCCGACCCGTAGGTCATTGTTTATCTAGGAAATCATAATAGTTATAGTCCTTGACCTATAAAACCCAAACCCACTCAGTATACCCATGAGTGTATAGAACTCCTCCTTATTCAATCAAGCACCTTAAGGACTCCGCGTGGTCATAGGTTCCCAATCCGTAGTCTATGAGTTTTGAGGATAATCTCGTCCCTGAGTACTCCACCAGTTACATTTCCGAGTTCCGAGGACAGTCCAGTCACTAGGTACTCCACCAATTATATTCTGAATTTTGAGGACAGTACAGTCTCTAGGTACTCCACCAATCATATACCGAGTTTTGAGGACAGTCCAGTCCCTGGGTTCTCCACCAATTATATACCGAGTTTTGAGGATAATCCAGTCCCTAAGTACTCCACAATTTCCTATGATCTACCTGATCTACCACATATCATACTTAGATAGGGTCTATATCATATCATTACTAACGACTAATCCAAGTCTTAGCATTTAATTATCATATATCGAGCCTTAGCATTTAAACATCATATTCCATGCAATTCCATGCAAAATATATACATATAGGATGACCGAGGCCGGTTCTACCTCGAATCGGGCCCCATTATGCATTTTATCAAAAACTAGCCCCGAAACCCGAGGCCGATCCGGTGTCGGTTCACTGCCTGACCAGCGTCGTTTCATTGCATTTTTCATGAGCCGGCAAAGCATTGGCCACCCCGAACGTACACTGATTGCTCCGAATCTTATACACAATATGTATTAAGTCTTAAACAATCCATATATGCCATTTTGGCCATTCAGAACATCACATATGTTTTTATATGCACTTTTATTCAATTACATGCATAATATACCATTTAGTTCACATAAGTCTAATCAAATTGGCTCATCACATGCTTAAACTCTTTTAAACATCATTATGAATTCATATAGCATTTCTTTAGGTAATCTCATACTTAACCCAAGATTTATAAGACATTAAGCCATCAACTCACCTCGAATGAGCGTTAAGAAGTTTTACTCTTCTCGGTTGAATTCCAGTGAAACTCCGGCGAGCTTTGAAGAGCTCCGATGAAACCTCTGGCGACTATCTCAATTCCGTGAGAGCACTAGGAACACCTTAAACAAGTTCCTACCAAGGTTTTAACATCCCCAAACCCATACTAATACAAATAATCTCTAAAAGGTTATTTTCTAGCAAACCGATCACTTTGGCTTCTAAGTCCATTCTTGGACTTAGAAAAACCTTCCAATCACTTATTCTACACTTCTAAACATGTAGAACAATTCTAGGGTATTCCATATGATGGATAAGTCATATGACATGTGATGAAAGGAGGAAAAGTCATTATAAGGTGTTTACCTTAATCCTTCAACCTTTTTTTCAACGTTTTGCACTTAATCCTCTTCCTTGAACCTTCTTGCTTGCGCTTGTTTCTAACAATGGAGATGGCATTTTGTAGGGAGTTCTCCTCTTGCTTGAGGTGTCTTGGATGCACAAGGATGGGAGAGGGAGTGAGGAGACTCCTCTTTATCTCAATAGGCAAATGAGTGAGAGGGTGGGGGGGGGGGGGCACCTTGGGTCACTTCTCACCCAACCATCATTCTCAACCTATGCCAACCTTTCAACCCATGTTCTGATGTAACATCCCGGACCCAGAGGATTCAAGGTAGTTACTCCAGACCTCTAGTACTGTCCCCACAAATCACTAGCCTTAAACACACATTTTGTCCTCACTCGTGCGCGCCCTGGATTTCTTAGCTGATGAGCTCCCATGCAAGCAAGCTTAATTAAATTGGATTTCTTAGCTGATGAGCTCCCTTAAAAGGAGATGTACCTTGTTGGGAGGTCATCCCTTAATGTCCCGGTGTGTACTTTCGATCCCGAAAGTTGTATTTCTCAGACTATTTTAATTAAATTTCATTTTATCGGGTCAAATAAAATATATTTCATCTTTCCAATTATTATGGGCCTCTAGAATTAATATATATTCCCCAACTTTAATTTAGTAGTCCTCGTAATTTATTACGGGTTGTTATCTACCGAATTACCAATACCGGTAAATGGGTCTCGTTTGATCAACATGTTAACTCTATATCATTTCTATGGCCCAACATGGATATACACATTTATATAAATATTATCTAGACTAGGATGAATATAATATGTGCTTTTTGTAATATCGGGTGGTCCTCGCTCCAGGTGTGGGCCCACGTGCATTTTACTATTCACGCAAAAGTAATAACAAAATTTTACAACCTCGTAAATTCATTAACCATTTCTCAAGGCTCGATACATACTTTAATCAAAGTAAATATACTTGGAGATAGTGTTGCACACAATATACTTGTCAAATAAAATATATCTCATCTTTCCGATTATTATGGGCCTCTAGAATGAATATATATTCCCCAACTTTAATTTAGTAGTCCTCGTAATTTAGTACGGCCTGTTATCTACCGAATTACCAATACCGGTAAACGGGCCTCGTTTGATCAACATTTCAACTCTATATCGTTTCTATAGCCCAACATGGATATACACCTTTATATAAATATTATCTAGACCAGGATGAATATAATATGTGCTTTTCGTAATATCTGGTGGTCCTCGCTCCAGGTGTGGGGCCCACGTTCATTTTACTATTCACGCAAAAGTAATAACAAAATTTTACAACCTCGTAAATTCATTAACCATTTCTCAAGGTTCGATACATACTTTAATAAAAGGAAATATACTTTGAGACAGTGTTGCAGACAATATCTTACGCGAGTACATATTAGGGAAAATGGAAACTAATAATCCCACCTTTTAAGTGGCATTAAGTATGAACGCTTACCGCACTTTTGTTTTATCTGTGGGCTAATGAATCATGTGGATCGAATGTGTGCATGGAGGTTTCAATT